TCTTAAGCAATGTCTATTGTAACAAAAGTTACAATAGACATTGCTAAAGATTATCCAGGTTATATTTTTAAAATCCAAAAAATATTTTTCTTACAATATCTTAAAAAATATTTTTCTTTAGTTCCTTTAATCTATCTATTTTCTTTAAAATAGTTCTATTATTATTATTACAGGAGTTTTAACAGCTTTCTGCTCCTCTTTTTTCTTTTTAAATGAACAGATAATTAGATGTTACATTTAGATGTTACGAACAGATAATTAGATATACATGTTACATATTGTAACATGTACATTTTAAATGAACAGATAATTAGATGTTACAAACAGATAATTAGATGTACATGTTACATATTGTAACATGTAGCTCATTTCATTCTCCTTCTCCTCAAGATTCTAATTCTGATCAATAAGTTTTTTGCCAGTTATATGTGATAATCTTATTGTGAAACATATCAAAGCGTCTTTTGCAAAAGATTGTATACTCCAGTAATTGAATGCTAACGTCATTAATAAAAATGATAAAAAACTTGATAAAATAAAAAATCTTGTATTAGACTGCTGTATTTAATATGGTACTGTTGTATTCACAGAAAAAATTTTCTTGTTATTGTGCAGTTAGTATATTTTGGCAATCTGAAACTTTTGGGATATAAAAACTTGAAACCTTTTTTTAACACCATGATTAAATATGTAAAATCAACTAAATTTGATACTGTAAAAGTTTTATTGTGCAAATTAAAATTAAAGATAAATTTTTATTATACCATTTTGCACTCTATGAAACTAAGTAGGGTAGAGTTATTTTCATCGCAGGAAATTGAAAATACCAAAGAAAATAATGGTTGAATTATTACGAGAAATAAATGTTGAATAATAAAAAAAACGTGTTGGCAAGTGAGTTATTTGATCAGCTGGTGGATTTAGAAGAGGCGTTAAGAGCAAGAGTACCGGGTGCCTGATCCAGGTTCAGAGACTTATAGGTTTATCTTACTTCTAGCAGCAAGAGGTGCATCATTAAAGAATAAAGGCAAACTACACCACATATACTCAGGCTGTTACAATTAATGTTACAAAAACATGTCAATGAAAAGTTGATAAACAGATGACTCTAAAAGACAAGAAATGATGATCTTCGACAAAAAATAAAATGAAGAATTAGTGAGTTCACCAGATAAGGTGCATCAAGAATGATCAAAGAGGTTTGGGAATATATAGCACAAAGGTGCAGCTGTCATTATTCAACATGCAGAAAGTTAGCAGTTTCAGAAGAAAAAAGTAGAAAAAATAAAGCTTGAAAAGAGTGTCATGTAAAATGACATGTAAAAGCCTTAGGTAAAAAAAAACTTAAGATCATGGATATTGGAGAAACAGCATTTTGAAAAACATCTGTGCATAAGCAGAAACAAGGATACTAAAACAGGTGACTGAAAAAGCTTTAGTTAATAATAATATAAGTACAAATAAATGCTTAAGCACTTGTAACTGGGTAACTAACAAAACCCCCTATGATAAATGTCAGTTTTTTTTTTTTTGTACAAGAAGCTGAGGAAAAAATGGGTTCAGTTAATTTTTGACTGATAAGATAAAGGAGATAAGATAAGGGAAATGCTGATAAGATAGAGTTTGAAAGATAATTCCAGTCAGGTACAATGCAATTGCAGAAAAATTCTCTTTGAGCACAGTCAGCTACTGCTTGACATTTAAGTTGATGACATTGCCCTGGGGGCCTTTGGCAGAGGCTGGATTTTGTGATCTTGGAAAATTGAGTGTTTTTTATAACAGCTATTAGTTTTGTGTCAGTTTACAAAACGTGACAAGTGAGGCATGTCAATATAAATAACACAAATAGAAGAGGCACACTAGTACAGAACCTTGCAGAACTCTACTGAGAACCTTAACCAATCAGAGAAGTAAGGAGTTATGTTAAGAAAAGAAGATGCACAGGTTGTGGAGAAATAATATTATGAAAAAATCTGTGCAAGTGCAGAAACAAGCTAAAACAATGATGATGATAATATTAAACTTATATTATTTTTATAAAGAAATGATTTTGTCTATTATATCTGTTAAGATTTTTAAAAAGGATTTTTATAATTTTTTTTTTAAAAAATTACTAACACTCAATAATAATAATTTAAAGTTTTTAAATTTGTTCAAGTTTATTATTTTCTCTCAATTATTAAAAATAAAATTCCATTTATAAATATTTTTAAAATTAACATTTTTTGACTAACCAACTTACTTTAATCTTATTTTAAATTTTAACACATATTTAGACCAGTAATTAATTGTTAATCGTTTTAATGCACTATTTACTAACAATAATATTTTTATTTGAATGCACTATTTATGTTGATGAATCAGTTTATTATTAAATGCTCACAATCAGTTGGTGGAAATAATATCCAATGTCACAATTCTCTATTTTTCAAATACCAAACATTTAAAGTTTTACTTAGTGAGGGCCTTATAGAAGATTTATATTACTAACTGTTTCGTAACACCACCTGTATGTTATACATACGCTAAAAAATAACTTTTGGTGGGGCTTGGTGGTTTTGTGACGACTCATTCAAATCTCGCTTCTTAAGTGTAAAGATTTTGTGATGAGAGGGGGGGGGGGGGGGTTCGAAAACAGTCAAAAATTGTGTGACGTAATTTATGGACAACCCCTAATTGCCTTTTTTGTTCATAAATCAAAAAAATACTTATATCAATCATGGTGAAAAATTGTTTCAACTGATATAGTATATATACAAGATCAGAATCAGGAAAGATGGAGAAATTTATTAAGTGGTTGAAACAGCTATTCATTTCAGAAATTGTCAGTAAACATTTAAAACTGCATAATAAATTAATTGCTTCATCAAAATGCAAAGTTTATCGACAATTTTATATGAAAGTGCAGAATAGATAAAGTGAATGCTTTCAATAAAAGAGGTATTTTTTTTCAATAAATCAAATATTGGCATATCAAAACTGAAAATAATAAATAAAAAATAATTTGAATAAAAATAAAATAAAAAAAATAAAAAATAATTTGAAGATCCAGCAAAAAAAAGCTAAATGCCAAGCCAGCATTGCAATCAGCATCACTAGCGTTCATCATCAACTTCATGTTACCAACAACACCAATACCAAGTATTTAAATTAATTATTATAATAAAACACACTAAATTAAAATTGGCTTAAAGTCTGAAATGAAATCATTTCTGCAACAAATTAATGGCTCTGATAAACATAACAACAAAGCAAAATGAAACAAAACAATCAAAGGACTTCAAGTGGGGATAGATCTTAAAGCTATGTTGTCAAAAAAAATGATTTTCCCATCAAACATTAAACTTTCTAAACATTCAAAATAAAATTTTAACTCAAGACTAAAAACTTTATAATTATTATTATCTATATTATTTATTTTTTTACTAAAACCTAATTTGTAAATATTTTAATAATTTTAACTTTTACTTTATGTATTGTATTGTTTTGTTACACATTTTTTGCAGCTAAATAAAAAAATTCAAAAAAGAATATACCTGTATATCAAACTCCATGATAAAAGGGGGTATTTCTAATTGATCTGGACTTATGATGTCATACAGGTATTGAACACCTGGAACAAAATTAATTTTATCTTTTATTGTAGCAGCATTGAATATTGTAAAGAACCAAGTACACACACGCAGCCAAACTGAACCATGAATAATTTGAAAAGAATGCATATTACGGCGATATCTTAAATATTAAACAATAACAATTTAAAACCTATCAAGCATGTAGTAAAAATACATCAATAAAAATATCCTTACATATTTTAAAAAATATACACTTTTTTAAAAATGGAAATAAGTTAAAACCTTTTATAAATAACAAAAATAATCTTTTAAGTACAACTTTTTCAGTCATAAACTGTTAAAAACTGTTGGTTGTTAAAAAATAAAAATTAAATTTAAAATTTGAAATTGAAAAGCTCTGTTAATATGAAAAACATGAACTTTAAAAGCTTTGATAATTTGTAAATGCTTAATTACAATGAACAATTGTAACAAATGTTCAATTGCAGTTTAAACTAATAACAAAAAAGCTTTGAGGAATTATAATTAACATAAAACTGTCATTGGGTTTTCTCTGTTTTAAGTAACCTGTGTGTTGAAAAGGGTTATCATAAAAACTAGGAAACAACACTACTTATCTATTACTTTGACTAAAGGCTCCCTAAACCTTTTATAATGATATTTAAGTTTTCACACTTATTTTGTTACATTGTTAAAGAAATTTGTTAAGAACCTCAACAAGTCTGGGTGTAGATTTAATTGTGAATTTTAACAATAAATGTTCTATTTGGATACTCTATTACCTTGAGGTGCCACAAAACTGCTTTCTTAATCTCTTAAAATAAAGAATCATTAGTTAAATCCTTATATAAGATGCCATGTAGCTATGTTATGCAGTATATATATATATATATATATATATATATATATATATATATATATATATATATATATATATATATATATATATATATATATATATATATATATATATATATATATATATATATATATATATATATATATATATAGGCCTCGGTATATATATATATCTCGCCCCCACACTCCCCTAAAACGGTTTACGGGAGCAATTTACGGCTTTTGCAAAAGTATAATTTTTCTCATGAAAGTAACTAAAATAAAAACCAAATTGTCATTAAAAAAAAAAGTCTATTGCATAATATACTGCAAATACTTTTTAAAAAGCATCGTTATTGCAAAAAAAATTAAAATTACAAAAGAGTGCTAATTTAAATGAGGAGCAGCTCACACAGCTCCCTAATTTGTTTTAGGAAAACCAAAATGTCATTAAAAAAAAAAGTCTATTGCATAATATACTGCAAATACTTTTTAAAAAGCATCGTTATTGCAAAAAAAATTAAAATTACAAAAGAGTGCTAATTATATGTATAATAATGTATATGTATATGAAAACATAAAACTGCAATAAATTAAAAAAAAACTCCGAACATAATGATAAAAGTATAACTTAATAAAATCAATTATTAAAAAAAATTATTTTTTAACAATATCTTAAATTTTTTTTTAAAACTATATCATATACTGTCAAAGTAAAATAGATTTTAATCCTTTTTAAAAAAACATAAGTGTTAAAAAAACTATTTAAAAGAATATGACATTATTTTAACATTAAATATAAGTATGTATTATACATAGATTATATATTTGATTATATAAAAAAAAGCTAATTCAATAATAATAATTTGAATAAAAAATAATTAATAAAAGCTATTCTAATATATTCATTTATATGTAACTTTATTTATGAAAATCCTTTTCATTTTGTTACTTTTGTGTTTTAAACATATGTTTAATATAAATTTAAAAAATTAACTTTTACATCCATTTGATTTTTTAACATATCTCAAATAAAACTAATTAAAAATTAAATCATGTTTGCACAAATGTTACAATAAGAACATCAACAACAGGAAATTGTTTGCTGCAAACCACTTCTTGACAGAAGGTCCAGATCAAGTTTTTTAGATCCTGAGAGGAGAATTGCATAAGAAAAAAAGAACTGGTTAAACACGCATAACTAGTAATTAAAAAAGAGCTTGAATTAGAAAAATACTTAATCACACAAGTAAAAAGATTGATTTAAAAAGCCACAAAAAAATTTCTACAAAAAAGAAAAAAAATGCTAGAAAACCATTCAAGTGATATGAAGAAATATAATGCTATAAATAAAAAGAACAAAACTCCTGTACAGCATATTTTGGCATGGTCAAAATGCAGAAATGCAGATCAAAAGATCGTTATTACAAAATTATATAATTCCAAAGTTATTATTGAGGACAAAAGCAAGTTCACATTAGACATATTTGCTTCTAAATAATATGATTCATTATTATTTAAATGACCAGACTTTAACACTTAATGATGTCAAGCATTACAACAAAGCAAAATATATGCTAGATGTTTGGCTAGCCTACATTAGCCAAATCACACTATGCTAAATCAGTCACAGGTTGGATACAAACATTAAAGATAACAAGGGTACTAAAAGACATGAGCCCAACAAATGTGCCAGAAGCTCATGCTTATAAGGATTTTTGAACAATTTTTAAACAAAAGTCTACATAAATCAATTATTGTCTGAGAAACATAAGGTTGTACAAAAGTTGGCTTCAACAAAAAACAAAAGATTTAACCAAATATGGCAGTACAGTTATATTAACTTTTTTTCTCTTATTTTTAGTGAAGATCCCTTACAATTTTTATATAAGTTTAACTTTTGAATTATTATTTTTTTAAATAAAATTAATTTTATAAGAAAAATAGGTTGAGCTTTCATTTAACATTTGTTATAAAAAGTTATGCAATACAATAATTATGTGAAATGTATGAAAAAACTTGTTATAAATGTTGTAAATACCTGGAGTTATCAGTTATCTCTATTTAAATGACTATATATTACATAAAGAAAAAAAAATGAAGATTTGCTTTTGAGTTCTATCAAAAAATGTTGATAATAATAATTTGAAGATTATAATTTTTGTTTACCTATAATTTTTATATATTTTTTTGTTTACTTATGATTTAAATTTTCTTATTAATTTTTATACATTGCAATATTATTTTTCTTTAAAAAATGTTAAAATTTAATTGTCCTTTAAAATAATTATCTAGTTATATATGTGTTGTAATTGTAAAATTGTAAATGTAAAATTGTAAATGTAAAAAATAATTATCTAGTTATATATGTGTTTCCTAATTTCGATAAGACTTTCTATAAATTAAAGTAATGCAAGATTATAATATTATAATATGTATAATAATAAACCTATATAGTAAAAAAGTCATAAATTATTATAAAACACATTGAGAATCATTGGTTATGATGCATACAAATTATCTAGAACACAACCCTTTGTGTAAGTTGGTTTCTAAGATTTTTTTATCTTAGAATTAGATCTAGCATTTACATTTGTAAAGACTCCAACAGCTTAGCCTGGGCATTTACATTCGTAAGAATCCACCCGTTTGTCGGGAATTTAGGTTTGAATCCACAGACTATTCTTTTATGTGCTTTTATTTAGCACCACTTCACTCTATTGCCTTTCTCTTTGTTCTATATCGCTCTCCTTCATCTTAAGACTGCACTCATTTCAATGAAATGAGTGCAGTCTTAAATGAAGAATGAGAGGGCTTGAAATGAAATGAAAATTTTATTTCAAGCCCTCTCATTCTTTATCTTAATACTGAAAGACTTGAAATGAAATTTTTATTTCATTTCAAGCCCTCTCTCTTTATCCATCAGCCAATATTGTTACTGTTGGTAACTTTAATGCTCATCACACTGAATGGCTTGGCTCTAGTGTCAGTGACTCTGCTGGCGTTAAGGCCCTCAACTTTTGCCTTTCTTAATCTTTAACTCAAACAGTCAACTTTTTAAGTCGCTTACCAGACAACCTGAATCATTTACATTCTCTACTCAACCTATGTCTTATTTCTGATCCTTTCTTCGTGATGGCCCTAGGGTAGAAATCTTTCGTCTTCCTGTTGACAAACGTGCTTCTTACATAACTTCGTGGATTCAGGCTGGCATGGAATCCTTTACTCCCTCTCGACAATTCCAGGTCAAGCGTCACTCTTCCCTATGGTTTTCCTCACATTGTGCTGCTGCAATTTCCAATCAAAACCGTTACTTCCACATCTATCAGCAAAACAACTCTCCAGAAAACAGACGTCTGTTTACTATTGTTAGAAACCATTTATAAGAAGGTTTTGCCTAATGCCAAACCTTGCTATTCTCAGGTCATAAAAACATGTATTTCATTACAAAAATTAGGCTCTCATGACTTCTGGAGAACCTTTAACAATATCAATAATAAGGGCAAATCTGTTATTCCACATCTCTTGTATAGTTCAGACTTAGTCACCTAACCAAAAGACAAAGTTGAACTGTTTGCTAAGAACTTTTCATCAATATCATCTCTTGATTCCACTAGTTGCATTCTACCTAATACAGCCGTCAAACATGTTGATCTATTGCTTGACATTCGTATCACTCCAGCTTCTGTATCTTAAGTGATTTCTTGCTTAGACTCTTCTACAGCTTGTGGTTCCAACAACATACCTGTTGTAGTCTTGCAGAAGTGTTCTCTGGAGCTGTCATCCATACTTTTAAAACTATTTAACAAGTGCTTATCATAGTCTTGTTTTCCAGCATGCTGGAAAGCGGCATCTGTTATTACTGTTATTATTACGGTTATTACTGTTGCTAACAGTAATAACCGATAGATTTTATTGAGCATTAGATATAGGTGGAGAGGTTAATGTTATTACTCTTGACATTTCTAAAGCTTTTGATAAAGTTTGGCATACAGGTCTTTTCCATAAGCTTTCTTCTTACGGTGTATCTGGTAACATCTTTGAAATTATCGAGTCCTTCCTTTCCAATCGTAGTATAAAAGTTGTCCTCAATAGACAGCATTCTTCTTCATATCCTGTTACTTCAGGGATACTCTCTACAAATCTCAAATCCATCCTTTTATGGAATACTGTTACAATATATGTGGCAGGTCTACTTATGATGTCCTTTCTTTTTTAGACAAGATGCAAAAACGCATTGTAAACATAGTTGGACCTGCTCTTGCAGCCAACCTCAGACTTGGGCAGGAATGGCGTGCGATTGAGCACTATTGCTGACCACATAATTTTTTTTTTAACAACTTGATCACGATTGTTTATATGTTTTGATGATTTAAACATTTCAGAAATGGGCTGAAAATAGAAACACTAAGCTTAACTTATGCGGTAGTGGTGTAGTGGTAGAGCGCTCGCTTCATAAACAAGTGGTTCCGAGTTCAATCCCCACCACGTCCCTGGTAGTACAGCGCTCAACTTGTTTATCCGCGCAGTGGCCTTGTTCGTCAAGGTTCGTGTTTCAGAGTTATAGAGTTGAGAAAGGGTTATAACCACAAATAAGTAGCCTCCTCATCTGTAGTGGCCTGAGGAGGTGAATTAAAAAAAAAAAAATTAAAAAAAAAACTTAAACTAAGAAAAAAAAAAAAAATAACAATACAGAAAAAACAATTCCTTTTGAAAAAGAAAATATATAAGCACTAAAATAAAAATTAAAACTTAAACACAAAGCAAAACTTTTTGTTAAGTTTTTAATTACAATGGAAATAAATGTTATTAAATGTTATCTTTTTAAACATTTTATTAAAGTTACACACAAAAAATTAAGTAACAAATTAGTACAAATTGTTTTGCTTATTAAATGAAAAAATCTTATCAAATTTATTAAAAAGTGTTTTCTATAATGTTTTTAAATCATATAAACATTAATTTTTAAAAAGAGTTGCAAAAAAAAAAAAAAAATTGTTTAAAAAAATAAAGTCTTTTTAATTTTAAAACTTTATGCTCTAATTCCATAAGTCAAGTTAAAAAAAGGTTTTGAACTTTTTCATTTGTAAAAATAGAAAGAAAAAAAACGAGCAATTTAATTTTAATTTGAGCATTACAAGCAATTTTTAACTTTATTAATAAGCATTTCATGTAACGAATTTAAAAATTATTATAAAAGGTTTAAACTCATTCATTCCTATCGTAATTAATAAAAAAAAAAAAAAAAAAAATTAAAAAAAAATAAAATAAAAAGTTTGTTTAGAAGATTTAAAAAAATTATAAGTTTAATTATAAAAATTAATCATTTGGGCATCATCGGGTATCATTGGGTATCATTACAATCATTGGGTATGAACATTACAAAATACTTCAAAACTTTTACATTAATCAACAAAATACATGTTTACATAAGTAAATAAAGTTACTTTATATTCTTGTATAATTCATATAAAACGTTCCTACACAGGTTCTAAGCAAGTAGTCGTAAAATGTTTTGAAATTATTCATAAATTAAAGTAACTAGTTTTGAAATTATTCATAAGTTAAAGTAAAATAAAAATTCTTTAAAAAAACAATAGTTGAAAAAATTTTGAGGAAGACATGGAAAAATAGCTTCAAACGTATAAATTTATTATAAAAAATATGCCTACAAAAAAAAAATTTATATATAACATTTTTTATTAATTTACACAAAATGCGTTTATTTAAACAATCATTATAATTAATTTTATATTTTTATTTAAAGCCTTTGCGTAAATATAAAACTTTGGAAAAGATCAATGATTAATTTATTAAGTTATTCATAATGCAACACTTTTTTTTAATGCATTTAAATTGGTAAAAAAAAGCCGTGGTTAAGTTGTAAAGAAAAAAAACTATTAGCATGGTCAGTTACAGAGTGATCGCACGCCATTCCTGTCCAAGCCTGCAACCTCTGACCATTATCACATCGCCATAATGTTGCTTTTCTTTTTCTTTTCTACAAGTACTATAATGGTCACTGCTCTAAAAAGCTAGCATCTCTTGTGCTATCTACTAAAATTCATTCTCATGTTACTCTTCATTCAATGAAGTCTTGTCCTTTTTCTGTGACTGTTCCTAAATGCTCCAAAAATTCTTATTTGTCTAGTTTTTTTCCTCGAACATCAGTTCTTTGGAATTTGCTTCTTTCATCTTGCTTTCCTGATTCATATAATTTGAAACCTTTTAAGTCGCCTGTCAACCGTTATCTTGCTTTGCAAACTTCATCTTTTCTCTTCTAGTAACTTCCAACTCTGATCTGTTAAAATTAGTTCAAGTAATTTTATTTAAAATGTAATTCAAATATCTTTATAATTTATTGATTGTAATAATTCACTTCTACTTTATACATACTTTAGATTGTTTAACAACATAAAAACTAACACAGTATGTTTAATTTTTTTTTCTTAAGTTTTTGAAATTTAAAACAAAATAAAATTTATTTAAGATGATTTTCTTAACACTTTATTTATGATGTCAACAAAATATTTAAAATAAAAAAGAAAGGATAAAAAATATTTAAAATAAAAAAGAAAGGATAAAAAATATTTAAAATAAAAAAGAAAGGATAAAAAATATTTAAAATAAAAAAGAAAGGATAAAAAGGATCCAAATTAAATCTGTTCCACAAAACTTTCTTTTTTAACAAATAAAAAACATAAAAAGCTTTAAAAAACATAACAAATTTATATGATACCTACTTGATATCTAACATTTCATAAAAGTGTTTTAAAAAAGTCATATCAAGTTGATGATCTTCAGTAGTAAGTGTGTGGAAGTATAAAAAGACATACTCTCGACTTGCAATTGTATCCATGAAATGTATAAAATAAGAAACAGCCTAAAATAAAATTATTCTAGTACAATTGCTAACTTGTAGCAATATTTTACAATAAGACATTCATTTAAAAAAAAAAATAAAAAAATAAAAAAAATAAAAAAAAAAAATTAGCGTAATGCTTTTAAATTTTTTTTTTAAACATCTTTGCTAGGGATGGCAATCCTGGGATCCCGAAATCCCGGGATTTCGTAAAAAATGTTTATCCCAAAATTCCGGGATTGGTCTCCAAAATTTCCCGGGATTTCGGGATCGTCAAAAAAAGGAAAGGTTAATAAAGTTTAAGCTTATAATTGTAGTTTAGTAATTTTTATATCGTCTTTGGTATAGAAGCTGTTTGGTTGTGTAATCATTTATTATCTTTGCAATGTTTTCCTTTTAAAACTCTCATTTTCTGTATTTTACTAAATAAAAAACTCAAAACATTATTGCTTGTCTGCAAAATATATATATGTTTATATACATATATATATATATATATATATATGCTTATATATATATATATATATATATATGCTTATATATATATATATATATATATGCTTATATATATGCTTATATATATATATATATATATATATATATATATATATATATATATATATATGTTTATATTATATATATATATATATATATATATATATATATATATATATATATATATATGTTTATATTATATATATATATATATATATATATATATATATATATATATATATATATATATATATATATGTTTATATTATATATATATATATATATATATATATATATATATATATATATATATATATATATATATATATATATATATATATATAAACATATATATATATATATATATATATATATATATATATATATATATATATATATATATATATATATATATATATATATATATAAACATATATATATATATATATATATATATATATATATATATATATATATATATATATATACTTTTATTAAAAACTCTTGTTCTTTCCACAAGCAAGCGCTTATATTTTTGTTATTTTTTATAATATACTATTAACTTATAATAAATTTTAAGTTAATAGACAACATTAACCATACTTTATTAAGATCAATTACATGTGCAGGAAAGAATCGTCCGATGAATACAACCACTGGACGTCCTTGAAGATCTACACCTGAAAAAAAAACACAGATAGTACTATTTAATAATATGTAATGATGACAGT